ACTTTCATATTTTCTCGTAATTTGTCTCAACGCTGAACATGTTCTAGTTTTGACTTGAACCTTCAATGCCCGCAGCCATTTACTATGCGACTGCCTTGTTTTGTCAGGCCTTTGTCGACACAAATCAGACCGTCACCGGAGTCAGTGTATTTACGCTTCCATGCAGCTACCAATTAACGGATCAAACGGTCCTTCCTGTTGGCTTTTTCCTTCCGCACGTTGCAAACACGTCTGTTCTACTTTTTCACCAGTTTCCCGTGCAGCTGCGTAGTGTCAGGAAATCACGATGTCGTAAACTGCAGGGGGCGCAGCAGCCCTTGACTTAATCGCGAAAGTCTAACCAATGACCATGTTGGCCATGAATTGATACAACAGTGACAGCATGCTCGGGCGATTTCACAAGTTACACGGCCTTTGATTGACTTATCAGGTAACGGGGATAATTATTCCCCTGAGTACTTTGGCCACCCCCAATCTGACGATGGGTCACCCATCGTGGTGGAAAATTACCATCTACGCTAGACTTCGGTCTGAAAAATTATCGGTTTAGGCTAAGTCGGATGTCGACGTGTCTCACGAGTCTCCGCAGCTCTGACTGCTTGTCAAAATGTGAGCCAGGTGGGGATGCAGGTGTTTATTGGGTGGAAAACAATCACTTTGGACGGGTGGAGACTAGCTGGATGCGGAGCAGACGTGACAGGCCAACAGTGATAGACGGCGAAGCTGTAAAGTTATAGTTGAGGACACAGCTGCAGGGGCCCAGGTTTCGTAACTGCCCTGCTAACAATTGTTCTTCACTTTTGACCCCTATACAATACGGACGTGGGAGTCGGCCTGGCCTGCTTGTTGTCGGGTCGAACTCGGCGGGCTGGGGTCACGAAGCTTGGTGCGCGAGGATGGGCACTGAGGTGTCCGGCCTGGGACATTCGCTAATGGTGTCGACAATGCGCCGCTGCATGCCGTCGATACGGGTGGCTTTGCAGTGGATGTGGAGATATCTCTCAAAACCGGTGGGAGCCTTGAGTGTACATTGAGGTTGAAGATATTTGGAAGGGCGCGGGGTGTAAATGATGTTGCTTAGTGTTTCGATATTGTCTGATCGGCCTGTACTTGGTCATTTCCGGGGGGTGCCGCTTCATTCGCGACAGTGCGCCATGCCCGCCGTTCCTGTGTAGGGGATTCCAGGGACTTGGTTTGGTGGTGACGCACTTTTGTGAAGTTTGCAACGTCTGATGACGTATTTTCTGTAATCGACGGAAACCTGCAGCGACGCGAGCGTAGAGCAGTCGTTTCGGCAGACGCCTATCTGGCATTGTCAACCAAGTCACATCGCCTAAGTTGGATATGGTTTAACGGTGTGACGATCTGAACATGCGATTCGGTTTTAGGGCTCTGGAATCCTTAAACAACTTCAGTGAAAGTGGTTAAGCTCGCCCTTTGTCTTGATACTGAGCAAGTTTCTGCACCCCCAGAGAAGCTCTATCAGGACAACCACTTCTTACATCCCTGCGTGGTGTTGACGGTGCTACAGCGATTCTGTGCGAAAAACTGGGACCCCTATTGGTGGTCTCTGTTCTGGGCTGAAACTGTCAGTTTTGATGCTCTTCGTGATTGTGTATACTAGGCACGTGAACTGATTCACAGCGGTGTGACGATCGTCACTGACAGTGATATTCAGTATAGCTCGCGGCTGATGCAATTGCTGCAAGACAACCTCTTTTTTCCTTCTAACGATTGATTAGAATCTGGAGCATCAAAATGACACATATCACAGACCTCACTGAAAATCTCCGTAGGATTTCGTGCTCAGTGCCCAAATGCCGGTGAGAGAGTTGTTTTCGACATTCAAGATTTTAGTGACGACATACGTACAGAAGATTTGGGCAGCTTCCCACTGGCTCGGTTGGTGGTATCGGTTCCCTGCCGCCCTCTCAACGGACGTCCGATGAAATTGCAGGGGACATGCGGCTGAAAGGGTCTGTGACATTGACCGTCTGTCCCCAATGCACGTCTCTATGCCGTTAGGAAGCCATCTAGTCGTTGTGAGGCGTTCAATGCACCGACTTCATGATTCCCCAAAACTTGTCACAATTCATGGTGTTTTAGGCCTCTGTGAGATTGACAAATTTGGTATAGACGTCGATTCCCACTTCGTTGCACTTTTTTCTGGAGTTGCCGGGCTGCTAACGTCGCCCGTTCCACGATGTTTCTGCAAGTTAATGGAATGGAGCGAGCGCTCGGAGATTTTCCACGAGACATCTGGCGAATTACCCTGATTGTGTCTTTCGGAGAGTGTGGGCGATCAAGGTCGACATTGGTATCTACTTAAGGAAGTCCGTTGGTATCTTACAGACTAGAAATGAACATTTGACCACGTTCCATCTCAGCGTTGCAGGATGTGCGGTCTGCCAAATAGTAGGGTTGTCCCACCTGAGTTGAGAAGTGGCTCAATAAGTTATGGATCGTAGACGACCTTGATGACCGCAAATACGTCCCTCTACTTACCTCCACTACTGATTTTATCCGCCTTGCCGACAATCCAGTCGTCCGGAATCTCAGTTGTGGTCTGAATTGGAAATATTCAACTTTACTTGGACTCAGCTAACATTAGTGCCGTAGTTTTTCGTCGTCAACGGACTCGTTGTTTCCGGCAGACGGCTTTAAAGGCCTACCATGATTACGTCCGCTCCAGACACTGCGGGGAGAAGCACTTGCATACAATCAACTACAAGAAGGCCCCTCCGAGCTCGAAGGAGTTCTCACTTATATAGTTTGTTGTGGCTGGTGCGAGGAGTTCACCGGACTGTACGGCGCACTCTCGCTGCCTCACAAACCGATTCGTCTGTATGAGATCTCAGTTCTGTCCATATTCTAGTTAGAGTAAATTTAGCCTTACAAATAGACATTTGTATTATAGGGAGCCCAGGTTCTCAAAATTACTTTCGTCCTCGTCCATATCTACTAACGACCTTTTCATTACAAGAGGGCACTAATTGCTTTTCAATATGTCATAGTAGTAACGCAGGGCCCTACTTTTTGGCACCATTCTCCAGAGACCTTCACTCAGTAAATTATCGAGGAGGGCCGGCATTGTCTGCTTTCTTTGCTTTGATCTGAAATGGGCCACACTTTTCAACGTCAAACTTGAAAGACCATCTAATGTAAGACTATTCGCAGAATCGGTCAAGGCTCTTGCAGGACTCCTGTACTGTTATGGTATTCTGTCGCTTGTCATATTCTGGTGTCATCTGCAACCGTGGCACCCCTTCAGTCCAGTCCTGATAAACAATTATTAAGAGCCAGAACGGTAAGGGCCACAGAATCGAACCCCGGAGAAATCCACTCACAACTGCCAGGGGTGTAGAGTTAACCTTTCCCATGCACACAGACTACGATCGGACTGTCAAGAAATCCTCTATTTGGGTCAGTAAATTCGCTAGTGCCCCATATGTCCAGAGTTTATAGATCAACCGATGTGAAACCCCACCGAAGGCCTCCTTGAAGTCGATTTAAATGGCATTAACTCTTGTGCCATATTTTAGAGCGGGGGACTACTGCCTCTTCGAATAAAGGCTATCGGCCGAGAAGTTATATCTAGAAGCACATTGAACAAATGCGAGGATCTTCTTCCTCTCCCCCCTCCTCTTCCTCTTCTTCGTCTGCTTCCTCTTCTTCTTCCTCTTCTTATTTTTCTTCTTCTTCCTCTTCTTCTTCTGCTTTCTTCTTTTTTCTTTCTTCTTCTTCTTCTTCTTCTTCTTCTTCTTCTTCTTCTTCTTCTTCTTCTTATTCCCTTTCAATGAACCGCATGGCAGCTCCCTCGGTGATCTTTTCCCTAACATAGCAATATATTCCTGTTAGGCTCCTTTTTGAGTTTCCATTGCTTGTCGTGCCATCATGATTCAGGATAAATCGGCTAAATTCTTTCCCCATCACGAAATCTAACAAGTTTTTTTTACAAGAATTCAGTGAGGGCTCTC